CTAGCAACCCATTAAGTGGAATATCCATAAATTAATCGTCTAAATGATGATTAATAATTACGATAACGTAACGTTCGATTAAGAATTTACGGCCTTTTATGCAGATCACGCTCTATTAAATAATTGATGTCTCTAAAGCATAAAGAAGATGAGTAGGTATTTACGACACCGAGTCGAGCAATCCAAAGCACCGATTGCGCAATGAGACTTGAACTTGTAACCCGCTCATGAAACTTCGCTTTTATTAATTTTTTTTCTCCCGTGTTCTTTTGATTAGCTCCTCGAAAATAAAAGCCCCAAAAATAGTGCACTTTTTATTTAACCAGCACGTGCCAAGGAAACATGCACCCATTGAAGAACGACTAAGTCAAAGAAGAAACAATAAACTTTATTAAAATTGATTAACAAAACATCGATCGTACCCGGTTTGCAATTTTCTGCTTATTAAGAGTGACTAAACCTTCGTTTCGGTTTAGCCATTAGATCGTGGGGCAACCTCGGCATAAATCGATCGATCACCGATCACGCGTTAATAGCTGATCGGAAATCGGGTACGGCGAACGGTACAGCAACGGCAGCAATAGGAGCAACAATAGGTTAGGTTAGGCCTTCTCGTAATATTCCGCGAGACGACGTTTAGGATCGGCAGCGCAAATGCACGCGCGTGCGTGCATGCCGGTCATACTGGTACGGCAAAATGCGAGTGCGAGTGGCTGAGAAGAAGTGAGACCGAGTCTCATAAACGCAACAGGCGACTACGTGAGCTAAGAATCACGTAGGCCAGAGAGGAGAACCGTATCTGGAATAACGGGTGCCCTCTAAGTCGATAAATAAATTTTTTTTTAAATACCTTCGTTCATTTTCATACCGACAACTATGTCAAATTATATTCGACATTGTACTAAATGGCATACTCCACGTAATAACAATGAGATCGAAGTAATAAAGGGAGCATTCAATAACTGTATATCGATCGAAATATGAGAGACTGACTTGAGGGGGGTTTCGCTTCGCCTTAAAAATGTAAAAAATTGCGACAATTGACTTTGGTCTCATGTACAGGTAATCGAAGAAAATCGCTCTTTGACTCCCAGCCGCTGGAACCTAATATATATGCATAATCAATGGTATTCCCAGTACTTCGGCGGGCATTAACTTTCGACACGTATGAAGAGTGGTAAAGTGATCCTTTCATACGTACATATGCGAACTGGAAATCGATTCCTCACAGAGGATAATGAATGTTCAATTCTGCTCCCCGAGACAGTCGACTGAGGAGACGTCACTGAATGGACTGAGAGTAGTCGATTTCTCGATTCGTTCGTCATCATCAGACGAAGTACCAGGAATGTTCAACATTACCGGGCATTTACTGCGCGCCTAATCGGTCTCCATTAATCTTGTATATTTATTAACGAAATAGTCATTAAAGAATTTCAGTAATTCCCCCCTAATCGAAAGAAAATTGTATCTAAATTATCCCACGCCCACGAGAAAAATGTTTAAATATATCCTTCGATTTTTTCTTTGTTTTTGTTTACGTATCACGCGTGAGGCACATTACGACATTGATAAGACGCAGCCAATGTCGAGGCGGCGATAAGGCCATTTGTCGAAAGTCACGGAAGACGACCTAGTAGTTTCCCCTTTATTTATAAGGAAAACAAGTTGAACATGGTAAAAAAGGGAAAGACCGCGATCGATCGCTCCTTTACTGCGAGATATTGAAGAAATTAATGAGAAAGTGTACTATCAGCGAGCGGAGATTTTTTTTTCCTCTTCGTCCACGTGCGTTAAGAAAATTCATCAGATCCAGAAAAACTTTCAGTAGGCAGTGTCGCGTTACATGAAAACAGCAGTCGCAAAAAATAATCCTCGCGTTACAGAAATTCGCGTTACAGGGAATCCCACGGTACTTCACTAAAAGTCCAGGCGGAAGTTTCCAAGGAGGCGATACATCGTAAATTCGTGCATACTTCCCCGAGCTTTGTGCGTATGTACCCAGTAAACAGACACTTCGAGGATAAGTCGTACTGACCGTAGTACCCTCCCGTGAATCATCCCGGACTTTGCATCCAGCCAACGATGACCCGTTTCTCCTCGTTCGAACAAAAGGGAGAAACAATACTTCGCGGAGGATAATTCTCCGAGCATCGGCATCCCTCGAATACCCGAAGTAATATCGGTATTGTCTTGCAGCTGCAGGAAGATAGTCCATAACGGCCCCCCAAGATAACAGAGCCCGTGACACAACGTGACACCATGAGTCAGGAGCCGAGTAACGCAATGGCGAATGTTTGGATAGAAATGGCGACCCTGAGCTTCGACGAGGCCGATATAATGTTTAACGGCTCGGGCGAAATAATTACTGCCCCGGCTAAAAACCAGCGATTAATCGTAGAGGCTTCGGTAATGGTAAACGTACCCGAAATCGTAAAATGAAACGCTCAAGTAAGAGAAGGGGGAGGGTGAGTTAGATAACTCATGCGAAAACAATTTCGTAAGCTACATCACTGGGAGGGAAAATATCATTTGGTCGTGGACCGCATGGCAGGATCCTAATTTACACGTATTGTTTCATGATAAAAATATATATTTTTCAAAGCGTTAAAATCCAGGATTTCCCAAGTGAAAACCCCCTCGTTTCCTTCCTAGAGAACCGATTGCCTCTGCTCTCCCTATACTTAAAAAACCAGTGAAACCGATTTCCCCCTTTAACCCCTTAACTTGCACACTCGAGATAATTCGAGCGGCGTAGTATTTTATGCTACTATAATTTTTCACCCTCGAATATAATCGAGAATTATATTTTTTTTTGCCAAGACAATGTTCTAGTGATTTTTTTTGCCGTTTTTTTTTTTAATCTGTGCGTTAAGGGGTTAAGTGCCGACTGCCTTAGATTCCATACGATAAACCCGACAAACAACGCGATTCGATCCCAAGCGACGTCAAATTACCACCCTCTCCCAAGCGTTGAAATTCCCCGCCAGAATCGGCCTCCCCGAATAACCCTAAACGACTGGAGTTCCTTCCCGCGCGGATGCATGTCGGGAGCTGTACCAGCACGTAAAGCGCGTTATCGCAGGGCCGGTGTTATCACTCTGATATCCAACATATATGTATCCCCCGCTCGCGGTCCCTGGCCTCCAGTACCTCGCGGACCACCGTTCCGGTTGGCGACCGGCCGTCCGGGTCGGTGGACGTTCCTGGACTTACCGTATCCGTCGCGGCGCCGATACTTGGCCTCCTGCTGGTCCGCCACCTCCGTGCTCCTCCTGCGCTTCATCCCGCCGCCGTGGACCCAATCCCGGTCGGCGCGCCCTAGCTTCGCCGGGAACGTAGACGCGCCACTCCGCGGTCGCTCGTGCGCGCCCCGTCAAATAAAACTCCGCTCCTCGGGTCTGCGCGCTCGGGCTCTATGATCGGCGGTGAGCTCGTGTATATTATGTACATAGACCAGCCGCCGGAGCGAGCGCGAGTGCCGGGAGTCGAGAGGGGAGGTTGGTGCCCCTGCGTGACCCGAGAGTGGGGGCGGGCCCGTCGCGAGGGGGGGCCCGATAAAGCCGAGCTTCTCCCTTCCGCCGCCGCCAACCAGTGGCGGAAATGACGAAAACCTGGGCGAAACTGTTCGTCTGCCTTAACCCCTTAACGCACAGATTTTTTTTATGTAAAAAAAAAAAAACAGTAGAACAATGTCTTGGTAAAAAAAATAAAATTCTCGATTATACTCGAGGGTGAAAAATTATAATAGCATAAAATCGAATTATCTCGAGCGCACAAGTTAAGGGGTTAATGGCAAGTCCTCCCATTTTATAATCTTACATCTCATATCCGTAAATTAATCGTATATAAATGTTGAACGTATGTACAATATATATATACATCGTAGATATCTACAGTGGACATAGATATTTAAATAAGTCCTTTAGACACTTTTTTAGGTGGATGATAGACCGTGTACGTTTGATATACTTATAGACCTAATTAAGACGATTAATTTACGTATATTCCACATCGTGGATCGCACGGGAAGGTTCTCGATACGATCGAGAGTCATCGAGTGGCACCGATCGAGCGCACGTGGCGTGGAAGCTGCGTATGAAAGAGAAAAGATTGTTTACAAAATCGGTTCGGCTGAATCACAACGGGCCAAGTTGTGTTAAGAGTGCCAGGTTACTCGTCCATCAAGGATAAGAGCTATTCATTCATTCGCCTGCTCTACCGATCGATCGTTCATTCATCGGTTCGATCGATTTCCTTGACAGTCCTCAAGGTCCACGAAGAGAGCACAGCCTAATGAGTGCACATTTCGTCGGCCGGCTACAATCTTTTTCTTTTCCTATTCCAATTCCAATATTATTTCATGATTTTCAGGGAATTCCAAAGATCCTGTGTACGTTAAAAATCCAATGGAAGTACTCTCAACTAGATTTTAAAAAATCGACTGCTTCATAAATAAAGGAATTGAAAGTCAAACGTTATTGCAGCCTTTACACTGTAACATTAATGCGTTCATATTGGCGTTTCGCAAAATTCCTAGCCAGGATGAAAAAGCGGAAATCAAAAACTCCTTCATGACCGTCGAGAAGTTTGAATATGATTCTTGGTTGTAAATGAGTTTTAGACTTCTGTTTTGACATATGGGAGAGTATCCCATTAAAAGAACTATTTAGGAATTTGGGGAGGTTCTAGTACTATTATTTTAATGAAAATTCGTCCGGCAGGAATTTTCAGAGTACATCTAGTAGTGGAATATAATAGGTATGTACGTGCGGGTATAAAGGGCTATTGCTTCGCTCGGCACGGAGGTCCGACTTGCGGCAATAATACCTGACGCGAAACGTAAAGCCGACATCGTCACGGAACTCGAGAAACAAGGCGAGCACATCGGTTCATTTCCAAGACTAGTCGCTTTCCTACCTCGTTCGTTCTCGACGGACCTCCGCATTTCCCATTTCAAAGAACCTGACTAGTTTCTGCGGAAATACCCATTCTCGCAATTTCTGTACATACATATTTTATTACTTTATTACAATTGGTAGCTTAGTCACATCTCTGTCCAAGACCGAGTAACGTTCTTTAACCCGTTAACCGGGTTCACCTCAGAAAGACACCTCAAATGGGCATGACTTTTTTCGTCATAGAAATTTTTAAACATAACATAGACGAAGAAAAAAGTCCCCAATGTGAAACGAGTTGTGCAAAAGTTAATTCCCCGGTTAACAGGTTAAATATACTCGGGGAATCCTGACGTGTAGGATAGTCTAACGGGGACTACTGTAAAGTGGGAAATTAAAGTTAAGTGAAACATGTCGAGGAACTTGATCGACGTCGGTGAAAAAGATTCACCTAAATACCTACGTTGCCGACGTCGTATTTATATCGACAGCTGTGTGGAACTATATTGGGTATTTTACCAAATGACATAATCCATGTGTAGTTTCAGTACAATAATTATAAAGTAATCGAAGAAAAACTCAAGAAATCCTTTAGATTCATGGTTTTTTATGCCTCAATTGACTACAGAGTGCCACCTTCCGCCATCTGTAATTTTAGTGGCAACTAAATTCCCTCTCCGAGACCTCGTATTACCATCGTTTTAGCTTAGCGCTCATAAGAGACTTTCTTTTGCCTTTATCCCGTTCGAGTAAGAGTTTCTCGATTATTAGAGTATTCTGTATAGTTATGCAGATACAGATCGGTCCAACACCCTTAAAAAAAGAGTCTTGTTCGAGTCGACTTATTTGTGGGGGGTTTCACTTTACCTTAATTTCAACTATAGAACAAAAGGATACGGATTAACAAAATCCTTGTACAATTCTTTAATAAACCTGAACACAGTCGTGTCACTCGAATGTATCGTCCACGATAGGAAACGTGCAATCGACAAATGCATCTGGATAAAGAACTTGGAAATTGGGCGGTACGGTACGACGTACAAATCGGGACGAACGATACTCCCGATTCCCTCTGCATGACAAATAACAACCTGACCAAGTGGAACAATCTTAGCCAATAATTAAACCACAACCTAATCTAAATTGGTGTTTGTTGTGATTAATCATGCCACTGAGAGCAAACGTAAATGGCAAAGGTTGCAGTTTCTTTTCCAGGACTGCGCCTATGGTCCAATTTGAATCGACACTTCCTGAAATGGAGAACGAAGGAATTATAATTTGTAATTTAATTCTCTGTTTGTAGAATATAATGGAATAATAAATCCTAATTACCCTTGAATACTAAATCAGCCTTAGGCAAGTCAACTTGGTAAGCAATGGTGGCAGTCGATTCCTGTATCCGCGAGTTGATTTCTAACTCAACCCCGACTTGAATCTCTTGGCTAGCTTTTTGATGAAAACAAACGTGGCACCCGGCTGAACCTATAAAACATTAATAAAAACTGATTGTTAATCATTGCAAACCAGCAAAACATTCTGAAATCAGTTCCAAATCATATACCTCGAGCAACTGTACCTACCAAGAGTTCCACTAATAGTAGAGTCTCCATTTGTGTAACGACCAACTGCAGAAAGTACAGCAATTTGTCCACCAGGAACGCCAATGCCCCTTTGATAAGCTAGTTCGGCACCCAATGCCAAAGAAGGCATTAAACTTTGCAGATAATGTAGGACTAATACACCTATTCAACATATAATCATATTTCATTAATGAACTGAAACTGTTCCTTTCACTTAATGTCCCGGTACTAATTATCTTTAACGATTACCTTACCTGAATTGTTAATAATGTCAGGATTCCCAATGGTTAGAGAAACGGTGTACGAATCACCACGGTAATCCCCAGTCATCTGTACAGCGGTGTATTTACCCCTTTGAATCTGTGTGCCCATTTTTCCTCTAATTCTTTCGGTAAATTGATGAATTATGTTGGTATTTAAATTGCCACTTGGGTCGATGTCACCCAATAACACAGGAAAAGATTCCGGAGGTGAAATCTGTTTTGATCCCACATATGTGGCTCCAAACCTATAACGTAATATAGGTTAAAGATACATATCACACAATTGTATTACATTCCTACACATTCAGTTTATAATAAAACTTATAAAAGTATTCTGACTTTATTCTATTATATCAAATTAAAGAATATATATGTTAGTTACAAACATTTTTTAAAAGTTCACATTTAAGATTGACAAATATCCCGATCTAACATAACCGTATTATGTAATCTAAAATATTATAGCATAACATGATACAATATTTACTGAAAATAAATTACCTGTATCCAGATTGTGAAGCAGAACTCATGTTTATTGTATGCGATATCTGAAAATGACTACTAAGGCCTTTATTGATCATCAGCTTTGCTCCCTCAAAATTAACCGGAAATACATCTGCAAAAGAAAGAACGTAAATTAAAGCTCTAAAAATCAGAAATAGGAATCGAATCCTTACTCTACATGCAAAAAACAAAGGTCAGTCAATTCTACTTCGTTTGCCCGCCAGCATACAACCATCTTTCCACTGGAAACCTCGGACCTTGACCACCACTCGGAAAGGTGGTGCGTTATTCCGCTTTATCGATACTCCACCCTTATCATAAATTTTACGTCCTCATTTTGCAATAGCAACAAACAACAGCGTGATTGAATCACACTTTCATTGATAAAATGACCGAAAACCAGATTCTTCAGATCGCGAAACGAAATGTTAAAGCTTCAATGATATACGATGTATGGGTTATCTAATACCTTTGCATTTTTTATGAAGGTCTTCTATAGTGCCCGGATTCGGAAGGTGCTCGGACGTATGGGGTGATCCAAAGGACACCGTCGTGGGGTCCGGCTTCCCCAGGTTCGGCGGTAATCCTGAAGTCGGAGGCGGGGGTGGAGGAGGCGCGGATGCTGCTAGCACGTTTCCCATTTTCCACGTTCCACGGTTAAGTTTCTCGGATTTCCAATTATCGATATCCCGAGTCGAGTCCGCTTTCGTAACCTGTGTCTTCTCCCGATCGCTTCAACGTTTATTTACACTGATTTACACGGAGACAACTCCTACGGTATCGTGGTTAGGAGAGTCACAAGTCACAGCGTGTTCAGCTGCGAGTCGCCATTTGTAAAGGTCGACCGCTGCGCAGTGTTGCCAGCTCACTGAGTCCATCACCGGCCCGATAATGGACCGTGATTGGGCCGGTGGAGCGAGTCGATCGGGTCGGGGCCAGGAGACGCGGACTATTATATTACGATTAATACAGGAAATGTGATCGTTTTTATTTTACTTTTTATTAACGTATACACGAATATCTACAATTATAATAATAACATAATTTTATATAAATCTTGATGCTATCGCAATGAGTTTTGTATAATCTGCACCTTTAGAATGGGTCTTTTCTTTTAATATCGTTCGAAGGATATGAGGAATTGGTACAAGAATTCTTGTCCCGAGGGGAGTCCCATTATCGTCAATAAACACGACATTGTTACTATCGTATTTGGGTACCTTTGGTTTCTGATTTTGTTTAAGCCCTACTAAAATGCCTTTCTTCTTTTCACCCTTCACAGCCATCAGAATTCTGTCCCCTTTAATAAATATCAGCTCAGATGATTAATTCACTATGACATGATCGTAAAACTTAGGAGCATACCCATAATTATTGAAAACAACAAACGAGCAAAAAATATGAATACTCATTACACATGACATAGGTAAAAATAACAATTGTTAACATACCAATATATCCAACCCCGACCTTGTTATAAATATGTATACATCTAGGTGGTTTTCCTTCCAGCATAGCTTGCTTGCCAATTTCACTGTTATCCACAACTCGGAGGCGAGTCAGTTTAATTATCTGATTCAATTCAGAACATGTGGAAATACCTCTGGATCCGATGTGTAACAGTGATGTATTTGATATCATCTTTATTGTCTGTCCTGAAACAACATATAAACAATGGAACCCTTTTCCTTGATTCAACAAAAAATAGATGTAGCAGGGTTAGTGATTTGTGCGATACAGATAAAAAAGACAATTAATGAAACTAAAAATATTCAGGCTTGCACTTGCCGATAACGAATGATAACAAAGAAATGTATATTCGGTCTATTCCAGTCTAAAGAACAAGATTCTAGACCTCCGAATGCCTAACCTATTACTTTCAACATTTTCACCACTGAAATATATAGACTACGTCTCCATCGTAATTATAACCCGGGATTTATCGGATCCAAACCCAGTAAATCCGAATTTAAGTGCCGATCGAAACGCTCAGAATTGAATTTGCGTATTTATGAATGACTGCGTTTCCATCGGACTCGAAATCCCAGATCTGTAAACCATAGCGTCTCTATCGCATTATCACTCATCTCTGATATTAGTTGGTTTAAGTTGGGTGAAGAGATGGAGAGTGTCGATCCTGAAGTAAATAGTGACTATTATTTGGAATTATCCGATAATCCTGTTCGTTTTGATCCGCACAATACTAGAACTGATGTTTTCTTCGACGATTCCAAACAGCAGGTGATCTAAACTTTGCTAGAAGTGTACATTTTTAATTCTGCAATTTTAACCTATAATGTCCAGTCCAGTTGTTAAAATGGACAGATAAAGTAATGAGGGCTTGGCTAAAGTTTAATGACAATTTACAGGTATTTGCCGTTAGTTTGGGCAATGTCATGGTCAAGGGACCTGATCAAAATTTGAGCTTCCGTATGGAGAACAAGAAACCCGTCTTGTCGATAAAGTTCTCACCCGACATGAGTATACTCGCAATACAGCGAACCATGTCCTCCGTTGAATTTGCAAATTTTTCTCCAGAATCAGGTCTGGATAAAGTAGAATATTCCCAAAGTCGTAAAGGAAAGAATGCCTGTATTTATGGATTTACATGGACACATGGATATGAGATTCTTTTGGTTACGGATCATGGAGTAGAGTTATTTCAGGTGAATATTGTTACTCGGCAATTACAACATGTTAAGAGCTTTTCTAATATCAAGTTGCTGTAGGTTATTCCAGAGAAGCACATGGTCAAAGCATTGAAGTCGTTGAGTTTAGAAGCGCACTGGTTCGTATACTGTCGACAAAGTAATTTGGTTCTGTTACCCTGTGGCTCGTTGGGAAATCAAATGCAAGTGGTGCATGTTACACCTAAAAATCTTCTGAAGCTCCCCAAGTTTGAAAGTATGTAACCATACGTGTAGCAATAATTATCGTTGATCGTCGTTAGTAAAACATGCTCAGTAACGAAATCGTTTTAGTGGAAGCCAGCTCGGTAAAACCAGGAAAGTTAGCTGTTTCTGAGAGAGACATAGCTTTGGCAGTTTTATATGGAATACCTAGAATAATTATGCTACGTCATCAGCCAGGCGTCAATCGTTCATCAGGAACAGCATTTGTCTACGTATATACAATTCACAAGTAAATTTTGCTTTCTTTTTCAATGGATAAGTATTATGTAATTCAATATAAAATCATTTCAGAATGATGACGATACAAAAGACTCACATTTTGAAATTGGACACGAGTGGTAGATTTGCCATTAATATTGTTGATAACTTAATCATTGTGCACCATCAAGCCTCCAAAGTAAGTTTCAACCAATATAAATTAGCCTGCTTGCCTACAATTAATATAAAGGCACATTCCTTGCTTTCCAGACTTCAATGATTTTTGATATCATGTTGCCTGGTGTAAGCGATGGGACAGTGATACACCATACTCATGTAGCAGTGCCAAAACCAATTAAACCATACATCTTGCCTACCATCGAATCATCATCATCGGAACTTTCTGCCGAACCTTGTCAGCTTTGTATCCTCAAAATTAATTTATTTGAGAATTTACCAATTCTCCAATAATTTTCCTTAACAAAGCGTAGATTCGCCCAACTGGGTTGTTTTTCAGCCCAATATTGTCATTGATGCAATATTAGGCTGCTTCTGGTATATTCAGCTAAGGCTAGAAGCACTGGTCAATCTCATTACGGATAAAGTACTGCTCATTGAGTTTTTAATGCAGCGCAAAGATGCGAAGAATGTTTTAGTACAAGTACTGCAAAATCTCATGATGGAGATGCCAGTTACATTGATGGACATGCCAACGATCTTTGGTAAACTAAATGCCGTTTATCGAAGCCATCTTGAGAACGAGATTCAAAGCCAAGTAATGACAACTCGTAACTTGACACGGCTTTATTCAATCGATTATATCGTCTCTTTCTTCTAGATGGGCACACCTTTACAGAATAACATGAAATGTCCGACCACTGTATCGGAAAGCCTCACGCATAAAATGCTACTAGACCAAAGTGACATGTATAGTCATGTATTGTCTAAATTTAACGAGGATAAAATTCAGCCTAAAATGTTGGTCTGGATACTATTAGAATATATCAGGTATGTTGATCGCATAGGAAGCCATTGTAGATGAAAATCCTAAATTACCCTAAAATAACAAAATTGTTCAGATCATTAGTGGAACATGGCATTCCGGTGCAACATTACCTTTACGAGTTACTCATCACAACACTGGTTCGACGAAAGGCATACTATCAGCTTCATCAGTTATTGCAGTATCACGTAGTCACCGATTCGAAGCCATTGGCATGCCTTCTACTGTCTCTTGAAAACTTGTATCCAGCAGCTCTTCAGCTTGCATTAGACATGTTAAAGCGTCTTGGAAATGCCCATGAAGAGATAATCGAGGTTCTCCTCTCGAAAAAGCACATTCTCCCTGCATTAAGGTAATACCAACTATTAAAAGAAAAGATGAAAGGTGACAACTGCGATCGTTTTTAGGTATGTTCGATCGGTTGGAATGGCAGACCAAGCGTCTGCTAGGAAATTTCTCGAAGCTGCAAAAGCTTCTGACGATCCTGTGATCTTTCACTCGGTGTTCAAGTTCTTTGAGCAGCGCAATATGAGACTGCACAATACCATGACGTTTACTCGGGGAGAACATTGTCAAACGTATGTGCAACATTTTAAACAATTGTTCCATGGGTCTGACTATCACTGCAATTCGGATACGGATTCGAATATGTCAACCGTCTCGAGCTAAGACTGCGTAATAATTCTCTCTCAGTATGTAAGAAAATCCTAACATTATTGTACATTTTCAAGCTATAGGTGCTCGATTTCTTGTAGAAACGAAAACGTGTACGTTAGGAATAAACAAGTCCTCCCGATACATTCTGTATCCTGAAACCATCCAAGAGTACAATGAAGACGCCTCCACCAGTCCATCTGAAATGTATTTATTGACGTATTTTAAATCACTTTTCGTCTTTCACGTTTTGTTTCGTTAAACGGTATATCGTACAACGAGCATCCGTTACGTCCGGATACGTCATTTAAAAGGTACAAGATTAATGTTCAACACGTCGGTGCTGATCGGGGCTAGCTAATCCCTCGTTATACCTCGTCTCGACAAGTATCCTCTTCGAAAGCAATTACGGGCACAACTAATTATATTCAATTTCGACAGTCCTCCTTCTTGGGAAGTTATCCCAATGTCATCCGTCTGACATAACGAATGCTTCTACGTACCTTCTTCGGAGAACCTTGTCGTCGCCCAATGTTTTATCATAAATGATAGAGAGAAAAAAAAAATTAGTAAAACCCTCGAGGAATTCTTACAACTCGCATCGGGTGGTTTCGCGTATCTCAAAGGAAACGAGCGAATAATACGCCGACAGGGATCGCACTCCCTACGTCGTGGACGGCAATGTGCGATTCTTGAAGAGCTCGCAAATCAACGCGAATGGAGAGGTACGACGTTAACGCTCGCCCAAGCCTATCTCGAGGATTGGAATTCCGCCCTCGCAATGGCGAGAGTATTGGTGCGTGATAAGATTCGTAGAAGAGATCGGTGCATACATTTAGAGAAACGACGAGACACTCGGTAAAATTGGTCGAAGGTGATACGTCGTGAGAGTGACTCGCGCGTACCACTCGGTCCCTATCAGTGACGCGAATCGTCGAGATTCTCCTGTCGAAGGGTGCTCTCAGGAACGCGAAAAGAAAAATTCTCTCCCTCTTCGACGTACTTATTCATTTTCTATTTTTAGGAACCTGGAGAAATAGAAGCATCTCCGGTGGTTGCGCCAAAACTATTATGTTTCCCGTTAGGGGTGGAGGTAGAAAAGGAAAGTTTGAAGATAACGTTCAAGATGGGATTCGGATCCAGCGGATGGGGAGGACGATTTCTCGCGAGGGGATTTTCTAACAGCGGATTCCTGAGAGACCGTCTTCGAGGAACCTTCTCGCCTCTCATCGCTAGGTCCCTTTACGATCGGGACGTTAATTGTATCCTGTCTTAATCGAAGAGCGACTAATCGAGGGCTTCGGAATCCGCTGGAACGGACGACGCGGGCTCGCTCGATGAAATAGCGGAGGAGACATTGCCTAAGGGGGCTCACGATAGCGAGAAAATCATGATTACAGACAGACAGATAGTTTATACAGCAATTGTTAAGTGCGAATCCGCGAGGCGCTCGGGGGAGTTGGATCGTCTTCGGTTTTCGCTTCATCCCCTGCCTCCAGTCTGACCGAGCAATTAATATCCGCGTTTATCACTCGATGTACAAACGAGGTCTTAATTACTCGGGCCTTTGTCACGTTTAATTACAGGAAATTCTCATGCGCGAGAATTTTCGGTAGTTTTTCTCGCGTTTCGGCTGCTAAACCCGCTCGGTATGTATCGCAAGTAAACTCCGGGAATTAATTGAACGATCGATTATTCGTTACGTGCGGCGGGAACAGGTGTACTTGTCGCCTGCGTCGAGGTAAAGTAATTGTTTCGCGAGATCCCGCGGATGGATTGAAAATTTCGTTTAGGGGAGGCTCTATGTACAGGGCGTGTCATGCCCGACGTCCAGGGAGGGGTAGAAATTAAGCCTAAGAAACTATTTTCGGAAGTATCGCCTCAAGATAAAGGTCCCTATCGGTAAAGAGTCATTTTTGGGAATCCACGAATTCTATCATTAATATGAAACACCCTGTGTAGGGGGAGTAATTAATATTCACCGGCTCGTTCGTCTGATTTTTCCCCCGGGGCCAATGCGGCGCTCTCTGGATTAATCTACGCCTAAGAATAAGGGGAATTAATTACCTTACTGTAATGACACGCTATTCGGAGTAACTTCCGCGAGATACCATTAAGTAGAAAATCCCATTCACGCGCACGGATCGTCGAAACCTCGCGATTTCGAAAAGGTTTGGGGGAAATCAATAAGGAAATCCCTTTGAAAGGGCTTAAACGTAATTTTACATGTCTAAGAGCTTTTGCGTATACGTCTACAAGGTATGTCCGATCGCGTACGAAATATCCGTAAATTCGCGCGATCGTTCGGAATGATTTTTGCGTTCAATCCCCTTCGTGCATCGGTTCGGTTCTTTAGGAAGCCGAATCTCTCTCGAGTCGTGCTTGATCGCATTATTTTTTTTATTCCTTTCAATTTCCCTGAATTAAAGTTTCTCTTTCATTCCTACCATTCGTCAAAAGTGGCGAATGGGTCGTTCAAGATTTTTTTCCCGAGTTTTTAAAATCACGCATCTTCAGCAAAATTCGAAAGAGATCCGGCCTTACCGATCCGTTCCTACTTACTTCTAGAGGTATATCGGTACAGTAATTGTATATCGGTAAGTAGGATAATTCGGAGAGTAGCAACGTCGACATGTCGAGTTATTTCAAATAGTCCAGGGAATGGCACCATGCATTCCGAAGGATCGAATTAAATTCCCTTGTCGAATTGCCGGATGGGGATGTAAATAACGCGAAATCGTGGCGGGAAATTAATTCCCAATTTGGCACCAAGCGACTTCTTCAAGGTTCCCATGTTCGGCTCGTCAAGTTCCCGATTAATAGCCGGAACATTTGCGTCACGGTCTCTAACCTTTCCAGGAGTATTGATTCCCATTACAGGTACCGAGGCCTGATCCTGGTTTAATCGCCTCTTCCGGCAGGGCCGTGCGTGGGTGGACCTCGAGGAAGACGTCGAAGGTAGTGGACGGCTCCTAACTCGTTTAACTGCGAGGGGATAAACAGATTTTCTTCGTTAAAGGTGCCTTCAGGATGTGCCCCCAGGTCGTCCTCGCTCCTGCCGTTCAGCCAATCTCTTCGGTCCCCATAAACTTCGGATCCGAAGTCGAGAGCGGATCAGCGGACAAGAAGAAGACCCTGTGAAGGACCCTGAAGAGGAACTAAAAGCGGATTTAGAAGGGAAAACAACTTCCGATGTCTCCGATACCCTCCGAAGCCAACTACCTTGCAGCATCGTCAACGTCGGAGTTCCCTGAAGAGGTTTTTAATTTTCTCTTTTAATTAGTATTAACCGACTTTAGTTGAAGGCTGGTCGACCGACGTTGCTACCGGCTCCTTCTTACGTGCTACCAAGAGACATTTTTACATCGAGATGCTTAAAAGCTTGTCGCTAACAGCTAGAGATACGTTTCTTCGTCTTCGAGTCGAGGGTTTCCGATCTCCAGCGAGCCCTGGTCCCGTTCCGCCGATTCGAATCCACCATCGCTAGTTAAGCTCCGTCCTTCGCGTCGCCTTCCAGAGGATCTCCGCGAAGATAAGTTTATCCTCTACAAATAGTCCCTACTCTCGCATCTAGATTCGAAAGCAATGTCAATTAACGTCACGCAAAATCGGCCGCCAGAGGATCCGGCAATTCCGGGGGAAGCTGCGCCGCGGGTGGACCGAAGTCGTCGCCGAGCGCGGCGGGACTTGGGATGAAAAAAAAAAATCCTGGAAGTTTACGGAGAGCTGCATCCATAAATTCCCCCCGGAGCGAGTCTTCCGATTGGAGGGAGACGAGAGAAAGAAATCAGGAACGCCTTTTTTTTTCTTAACGAGCAACTCTGCTGGGCAACTCGATGCAGCGTGTCGATTCCTCGGGGCGGATGGCGACGCGGGCTGATTCTTAAGAATCCTCGGCATAAGCAATTAAGGCCCTCTTTCGGGAGCTGAAGAGCGATCTCGCGGACTGCCAGGAGAGATATAAAGGCCAAACTCAAAGAGAGAAAGAGAGAAATGGGGAAGAATTCCACGTCTCCTCGACTGAAGGATCCGCGTTAAGCGTTTCGCTTCCGTAAGATTCTTCCTCCCGCAAGGTGAGGTCTTCCAAGGTGGAAGAGGACGCGAACGAAGGTGGAGGCGCGTTAAAATAAACGCCCCCTCGTTAGGTACCCTAGTTTAGCCCACGGCTCGTGGTACCTTGGAACTTTGATACTTTCACAGCTCTGGTCGGCCTCGCGGGCTCCTCGGCACCCTCGGGACCCCGAAGAGGACCCCGACGTCGGCTTGGCCGGCGACGTCGCCGCGGCGAGGAATGGAGAACCGGTCGGCGCTTCCCTTGGACCCTGGTCGACGTTTCCTGCGAGGAAGGAGGTCCGACCGCCCCTTCGGGGTCGCGTCGAGACCCTCGAGCCATCATCGGGGACTTAGGAGATGTTGCAGTCGTCCGAGTGGGCGTCCCTAATTTGCTGCTTGGTCTTCCGGGAGGCCCGCCTGATCAGACTGCGACTTCGAGGCTTGCTCTTCACCTCTTCGGCAACCGCCACCACGCTGGTCCCCTGCGCCGCCAACAGCTGCTGCTGACTCCCCGAACCTGCGCTTCCGGTCCTCCCTCCTGGACTTCCGGATCTGGAACGGAAGAAAAAAAAATCCCGACTTCAGGTGGATTCGCACGACCCGACGCGTATCGGTTCCAGCACCTTTGCTCGGTCATCGGTGACTTTGACGGGCCTCTATGTTGAAGGACTCTTGAGAACGATTTTTTATACCGCTGTAAAGTGTCGAAATTAGAGAAATAATCGGAGGACCTGCGCGAGCCGTAAGCCGAACACCGCCGCCTGAGGCCGGACTCGTCGACGTCCCCTGTGGGGTTCTTCGGGACGATCCTCGAGAGGGTGACGAAGCACCTGAAGATCTCCTTGATGTTGTAGTCGTCCTTCGCCGAGCACTCCATTACTTTCCCTCGGAGCTTCGGCAGCTCGCAGTAGAGCCACTCGCTGACGTCTTCGATGGGGACCACCTTCCGGGCCGGGGCCAAGTCCAGCTTGTTCCCGGCCACGACGATCGGCACCTCCTGGAACCGAAAAGACCCATTACTCCCAGAAACTAACGACGCCTATTTTTTTTTTTTTTTTCAGATATCCGGGGGAAGCCCTCGTGCCTGGAAGTCCGGTCGCTGCTCTCTGATCTCCTCGAAGCACCTCTTGACCTCGTCGAAGCTCGGCTGCGAGGTGATCGCGTAGACCAAGAGGAAGGCGTGAGCCGTGGCGATGCTGAGTCGACGCATCGCCGGGAATTGCAGGTCACCTGAAATCGGAGGTATAAAAAATTTCATTTCATTTAATAAACCCACTAGGCGTTTTATAAATCGACGATGACTGCCGTGTCGTCAAACCCATTGTATTACCGTTTGTAAAAGGTTAGTCATGAAATGACTAAAGTGATTTAGGTTTTATACGGCTGCGACGATTTCGGATACCGATTTCGTGCCGACCCATGTCTCACCTGCCGTGTCCAGGAGATCCACCTTCAGGGTCAGGGTGCCCAGGACGCACTCCCTGGAGTAGAGGTCCTCCACCGTGGCTCTGTACCTCTCCGTGAAGCCCTGGCCGAGGAGACGCTTGACGATGGCGCTTTTCCCAACCCCTGCGGCCCCCAGGACCACCAGGCGGATCCTCTCGTAGTCGGCCATGGTCTTCTTGGCCTCCTAGACTCGGAACTTCCTTTTCCTCTTATCGAAGCGTCTCATCGAGCCCGTGGCATCCTCCCGCCCTGCGTCCCCGGATCTCTAATCGGGACTCCGGAATTTCGCCAGGAACGTCCGGCTCTCGTTTATCCCGATTCCCTCGAGGACGTTCCTCGCGGCCTCTATCAGGAGCCTCGCTGGAAACAATTTCCAATGTCGGTAAACGATCCCACAAAGGCGTCCAATTTAACGCCGAATAAGACGGATCCGGCCGGATTGGGCGCAAGGTCGATACCGACGCCACGGGGACCCGAGTATTGCCATTTAATCGTTAATTAGTTGACTAATTGAATCGCTAGCGGATTCACCGCAACCTCTACTCCCCGGGGAATGCGCGGTCTCGGCTGGGGGAGGAAAAATTTATATGGATGAGTGTTATCAAATCTACCGCTTATCGGCGTCACCCTCCCTATCAAACCCCGCTAGGTGTAAATCGCGCCGATTCGAGTCGAGTATTATATTTTAATTAATTAGGAAGTACCGGGGAGATTGTAGATGAAGTATTAATTCGATCGGCGGTATCGGATTCAAGAGTGGCGGTGTAAATAGGGGATGATCGGGGAGGGATCGTTCACCCCGTTCGTCTCTCACCTGCTGCTCGCGGGAAACGCAGAACGGCGCCCGCGGTTCTGCGTTTCTTCCGCGGCGGATTAAGGTCGGTTAAAGTGAGCGAGATGAATTAATTGCTAGCTCCGTTAATTGCCGGGAGAACGACCCCCGGGCGAATGGCGCATCCCCGTGATAATTATCCCCGGCGTTTCGGACGTTCCCCGGGAAGGCGTCTCCCCTCTTCCCGTGGATTCAAGGTCCTGCCTTGAAATACCAAACGGAGGGCGAAATCCTCCATTTTTATCTCCTCTTCCCGGGACTTGCCTTACCTCCCTGAGTACTCGATGCGACATCCGATTTACTATTTAATTGGGTCATTCCATTATTACCGCGAGTCCTCGGTTCCTCGGGGTGCCTCCTTATTTCGACCCTGCCTCCAAGGAAGGAATCCCCCGGGGAAAAGAAAGCTCGTTAAAGCTCGGGCTGCGAATCGCCACTGAGGAAGGATGTGAAATCATTTTTGTGCGCTTTATTCGAGAGGCATTAATAAATTTCATTAATTATGCGTAGAGGGCCTGGAGCCTCGGGGAGTGACGGGGAATCGCGGGCTGGAGGGGGTGAGGGAATGGCTAGGAGAATTTCTTCCTGGGGGTGTAAGGAAATAAAGAAATGAAGAAATAAAGAAATAGGAGGGCTGAGTTACGAGGCGAGGCCGACGCGTTTCTTCTGCCGAGGGGTGGAGGCGGAAAAAGGATGTCGCGTCGAAACGCCGGAGGAATCCGGTGGATTTCATTATTGAATTCTTCTCGGATCTGTCGCGCACTTTGAGATATGCAATTTGTCCGCCTCTCGTGTTGCCGGCCTCCCCGAAGAGGACCTCGAGGAGCCGACGTCTCCCTGGACGCGCGCCCGATCGACGTAATAATCGCTTGTTAATATTCATCGAATTATCGCCGACACCCGTCCACCCTGGACCCGGTTACCCCACATTCCAGGGAACCTCCGGATTCCCTGGATTCCTCCTTCTCCCCGGATATAACCCACATCCGGTCCTTCCTCCTCCTCGGAACTCTTCCTCGCGCGCGGATTCGTCCCATCCTCCATTAGTGTCTCCATTATTTCGGAACCAGAAATTAATGGACCTCTTTATTCCTGAAACGATATTGAACGCGATCATGATTAGTATTACGATGTCCAATGATTCTTGTTAATTTCGAAGTACACTCTTTTTAGTTTTTAATTTATACTCCAGTAGGTCGAGGGCGCGACTCTTCGCGCGCCGCCATTTTGGTATCTCCCTGGAGAGGCGCGTTTTCCCCGCTTCCTTTCGTAACAATTCGTCGTATCGATCGCGTCACGTGACGTGAAGTTTGGAAGGTTGGGAAAGGGTCGGGGAAAAAAAAAGGAAATTCATTTCGATATATATAAGGGAGTCGCTTATCCGCAGATCGAACGACAGTCCCGAGTTCGACAGGCGCCTTGTCCCTTGTTGTTATCGGCCACTCGAGAATATCAGTCGACTCTCGACGTACCCCGCGAGAACGTCACCCTCCTCGACTTCCGGTCGATCCGAGTCGGGGGTAATAATGGCGCGAGTGCGGCAACTTCATCGAAGTTTACCTCTTCGAGGGAGGGAAGTCGCCGCCAACTTCCCTCCCTCGATCGCTTTCACCCTTTCGCGAATCCGCCCTTATTCCCGTTCAATTTTCCCGATCGCTCCGGAAGGAGTTCACCTCCGCGGATATTACCTCCCCCGGGGCCGCGAATTAGCATGCACCCTCCAAGTAGGGCGCTTCCACCCCTACGGGAGAAAGAAATCACCACCCTTGGAAATCTCGACCCGAAAGCTCCACCGCGTTTATCGGCGAATCCGGCAATGGGAAAAGATACAATTCGAAAATTCAGGAAAAAAGGGAAAAAAAACACCGTCATCCCCTTAGAGTCGGAGAACTCAGTAAAGATTTAAAAGCAATCAATTAGACCACGTTTGAGCTCCTCGATCGATAACGCGGGCAATGAGGTAATGGGTTCGTTAAGTAATGGAAGGAGTAACGAGTTACGCTTTGTTCGTCCGCTCGTGGGTGGTTAAAATTGTGATTAACGTTGAGAAAAATTGTGGGGACTCTTTGGGGAACGACGAGTAGAGCTGGAGGGACCTTCGTTGTTATCGGCGCCGTTATCACCGCGGCTTCCCTTATCACCGTCGCCGCGGCTGTCGTTACGGGCGCTTCTGGCTTCGGCGTCGACTGTAGGTGCGTATACCCCGAGTGACATCCGATCGCCATGGCAACGCGACGCGTCAAAGGGAAACGCGAATCCCGTGCACTCGGTTGGGTCCTTTCGTCCCCTCGCCCCATGCAAAACATAATAACCGGCTGTGGCACCTGCCAGGTGTGCCGGGTAAGTGCGGAGAGATCGTCGGTCATGGCGGAGGGATGCTGCGGATGCAACGCCGAGGATTAACCGCGCGATTTCTCGAAGGATTACCCGCGGCGCCGTTTTGGGGAGAGCAGGGGGCTAAATTAGGAATTAAATTACAGGGGGTACTTGCAAGTGCTTTATCAGTACGTGAAAATTTCCCCAGGCGTCAGTTCCGAGGAAACGACGAAGTACTTGTGCACATATATACCCGTGTCGACGATTCTTAATATGTAAATCTATTTGCCCCCGGCGGGCGACTTAACCTCGAAAATGTCCATGGACAATTAGTTCAAAGGAAAAGCAGGAGAAGTTGGGTCGCGTCCAGGACACCTGGGAAAAAAGGGAGCGCCAGACTTGGGAAGTTCCTCGGCGGCGGAAGTTGCGACAAGTTCACGTGGGACCCGGGGAAGGAATTTACCGCGAGAAAGGGGCGTCTGAAGGAAGAGCGAAGGGTTTCCAGGATACCGCCCGGGGGTGGGCCAGGACTCGGCAGGAACCACGGGGTGGAATTCCTCCCCGGAGCGGGATCTCTCCCTCGGGATTTCTTTGCAAATGAGGACGCTCCTTCGCCCGGGTTTCATTTCACGGGGCCAATCGGCACGCCGATCACCCCCGGGAATTGCAAACCCCGAGAGCCTCTCGGGACGTGGACAAGGGATAGGACAAATATCGTTCGGAATATTAATTATTTGTTTCTTTATTTATCCTTCGTGAATTTCCGTTCCTTGGCTTCGGAGAACGCGCTGGCGGCCATTTTGGAGAACGCTCTTGCGCGCGGCGTGACTAGCGCCAGGAACGAAGGTCAATGGCACGCTTGGACCATTTCAACGCCTGTGCGAGCCCTCTTCTGCAGATAATCGAGATCCCTCGAGATATCGCCTCTTCGTTTCGAGCTGCCGAGCGGTAATTGGAAACGCAGCCCCGGGGCTGAAAGGCGGCCGAGATAAACGAATATTCACCGGGCGAACAGGCGCGCTTTATTCGCCGGACCCGCCGCCATATTGCGCGTCCGTTTCGTAACGACGCCGTTAACTCTTGTGCGGCTCTTACGTTTGTTCCGCTGGACGATTTTTTTTAAATTCCCCCGAGTCGAAATTCAGGACGCTCCAATTAAGATTAATAATTAAAGAGCCTTGAAACACAATCCGATCGACCGAATCGACCTGTACTCCTCTTATCGAAATTACCTTTGCGGCACCGATGCCGATAATTTCGCAATTCGGTTTGTACGGGTTAATTATTTATCCCCTGGCTTTTAACTGCATTGTATATTTATGCCACTCAATTAGGCATCGGTGTTGTCGACCTGGTTGGTAAAATATAAAATAATCAAGGGTATTTTCTGGAGGCGAAGTACATCGACGAGGAGTGTTTCCCATTTCCTCGAAACCTCGATCAGCCTTCTGCCCTTCGATTCGGTCTACTTTCATCCCCCATGGGGATGGTCGGGAATTAACATAGAAACTGCCGCAATAGGAGGCTTTCCTTTCTTCTTCCTTTTTCCCGAGAGCCACAATGCAAGCGTCCTTGAAAGGGCCTACGTGCCGTTCTAAACAACGAAAAGCTCTCCTCTTAATTAAAGCCGTTCGAAGCGATAAAGAGGCGAATAAATAATAAAGAACAATTATGGAGGAACCAGGGGGAGGAAAGGAACCAGGAACCGTGGCGAACGACGGCAAAGGGCTAAGGCGTCCCTCCAAATAACGAAAAGCTCTTATTTAATTAAACCCCCATTGATATAATTGAAAGGGAAAAAAAAGGGGGTGGAAGGTGGAAAAACCTGAAAATGCGAAGCAAGAAGACGAACGAAAAGACGAGGGGGTAAATCGCCGCGGGGGTCGGAATAAAAAGTGAAAAATAAGAGAAAGACTCCGCGAACGACGACAAAGGGCCGACGTGTCTCTCTAAATAACGAAAAGCTCTCCTTTAATTAAAGCCCCCCTGCGGCCGGTCGGACGTTCGAGAATTTTTATTGC